ATATATATATATATATATAATATATATATATATATATATATATATATATATATATATATATATATATTTATAAAACGCATATACACACATATAAAAGGTGTTGATACTCATTATAAAATGTCCAAAAGGTGCCGGTATTCACTACAAGGTGTCTATTACTGTAGGTTGGAAGAAAACAATGCCTATAAAAGTGTGAGTAGTGCAATAATGCGTTCCACTGCATAAAGTCAGGAAAAGGGGAAAAAAAATTCACCAGTTTACACATCTTAAGCTGACGGGCCACGCTGCTGACGTCACCGAGTCGGGCTAACGATGCATTAACGCAGCGGTTCTCAACAAGAAATAAACTATTTTCGACAGTGGCGAGGGAAGACAACTTGAATTGTAACTTTTAAGTATCTGCATGCCTTGTTTAATAAATTCAAAATTTTTAGCCGACTTTTCTTAATTATTGCCTAGGCACCCTTAGCATACGCTCACTGCACTACAAACATAGCAACATTTTACAAACACAACAAACCGTAGTGCTTTGTCTATATTACACGAAATTTAGGAAAGAGATTTGATTGGCAGGTTCCATTGTGATATACGTCACTCACATGTGTCTATCATATGGTATGGTCAACAAATGATCTCTCTATCCCAGTTGTGTGGAACACTTCGTTAACGCCAGCTGATGTGGTTAATCTCACAGACCAGTGTGATTTCCATGCCTCCTTATAGCGTGTAATCATCATCATCATCATCATCATCATCGTCATCAACGTCGTCGTCTTCATCATGTGCCGTACCGGTAAGCGTAGGCTGTCATGTTTCGCTATCTTACACGATCACCAGAATCACGGATCAGTACAATGCTTTTGTCTAATCCCATCCATCTGGCCAGGCTATCCAGGTATTTAACTCTTTGCCTGTGTCTCGATGTCTTTACATCAGTCCTGCCAGTTGTTACCAGGTTATCGAATCCGGGTGCTGCGTGGTCTTGAGACATGGTGTCCGCCTTGAGTGCTAGAAGCTCCAGGTTCAATCCCCGGTAAAAGCTGGGATTTTTTTCACGTGGTCTTGGACATATATAATTCCCCTGGTCTCATAGGTAGTCAGATCAAACGCCCGTGTGTATTGTTGCGCACGTAAAAAATCCCTTGGCAGTTGGAAATCGAACAGAGTAGCCTGACGGCGTTGCGAGGGCAAAATTTTGAGATAAAAATCTGCCCAAAGTCTTTCAGGATCCTCGCCGGTGATACAGAGCTTGTGCACTGTGCTGAGCTTCTTCGGACTCAGACTTGAGTTAGAAGAAGAACGGAGCTCTTATGGGTTAGTGTACACGTGTGCCATGATGTTAATCAGTTGTAAAAACCTTAAACCACATTCTTCTAACACGTCCTAGAAATATTTACTGTCTGTGTCTAAATGTTTTAACAATCTACAACAGGATATAACCCTATCGTCTAGAAGGACGGAAACGTGCCAAAAACATCAACAACGATAACAGTGGTCTGGTAACGGATCAAGTGGTAGGAGGCATAGAAGGTCCGAAACAACGCCGTTGCCATGAAGGCAGAACGGGGACAATCACAGACTGTGGAAACACATTCGGAAAAATGAGAACAGTTCAATACATAACTCAGTCCCAATATGGGACGTCAATTTATTTTTGTTTTAAAGTCCCACCTAAACTGTCGTCAGGGGAGACAACAAGGAAAAAAAGGGGCGGGGGGGGGGGGAGGGGCATTAATATAATGCAACTGTTGAAAGGGCGTTTCTTGGACTTATAACTGAGGGGATTCTCATCCATATAGTGGTACTTTGTGTCAATGAGTGCTAAACCCTCGTTGTGTAGTCCTGGTGTGGTTGAACGTCAGTCAGTCAGTCGGTCAGTCAAAAGGGGAAGGCGGGGGAACTCCTCCTACAAATTAGGAAAACAAATGAGGGGGGGGGGGAATTTGGCTGGCGAACCTACACAAAAAAAGTTCGGAGTGAAAAAGCGTTCAAGATGCCCAATTCCTCTGATTTGGGCGCTCCTGTTATGACGTCATATCCGTCTGAACGTGTGGGTTGACAGTTCTATGTTGCTAGTGTCATCAATCTTCAGGTCACAACAGAGAATGCGGATTCTCAAACTGCAGTCTTACAAGCCATGATGTTCTTCTGACTGTCTCTCTGTATGTCTGTCTGCCTGCCTGCCAGCCTGACGATCTAATCTACTTATACGTCGGTCTGTTTATCTGTCTGTCTGTCTACCTGCCTACCGATCTACCTGCATATGTTAACAAATAATTGCAGAGACCACATCTAAGAAGTCATTGGTGACATCAAGGTACACACATTCACTTTAGCAGTAGGAAGTTCATTCTTCCTCTAGGAAAAGGTCACTTTTGCTCTCGAAATTAGTTAGTAAGTTAGTTAGTTAGTTAGTTAGTTGGTTGGGTTATCATCATTGCACTTCGGACATGCCCATAGGTGCTCAGATTCTCCCCTCAGTATAAACCCGAACTCCGAT